AAAAAACTTTGTGTATTATTATGAATTCTCATTTCAAAAAGCCGTTTTTTCAGCTAGAACTGGTTTATAGCCCAGCCAACATTCCTTGAAAACAATATATGTAAGTAAAGGGCGCTTTTTCAAAAATATTTAGAGATGAGCCTGTTCCGGAATTAGATTAACGAGTCGATTTCAATAACTTAGAGATGAAACTGAGCAGGCTAGCTCCAACTATATTTCTTGAATCTGCACCGATTTGTAGCCTTCATCATCATAAATCAAAGTGGCCTGGTCAACTCCACATAGGAGCCAAGCAAATAGAAATCATACAACTTTAAGTAAGGCTGAAAATCGGAGCACTTCTAAAATAAAATAAAATAAAAAAAAAAAATTATTTTTTTTCGAAAAAAAAAATTACGAGAAATTCGGCAAATTACCAAAGAGGGAGAACTAAAAAAAGGTAACAAATAGACTATAGAAAAGGAGAACGGAATAGACCAAAGCGTGCACCAAGTTAGGGTACAGTTCAGCTGCACCGTCGGTCCCAATACTTTGGCGGAAAGGGAGCAAAGAAGGAGCAAGTGAAAACCTCTTGGAACCGTGAAGTCTATCTGTATCTGGTCTGGTAACTATAGTATCCTGTAGACATAACCGTACAGAAGAAGAGCCCGGTAAGCACATCTTAGAAGTGACGTTATCCTGAAATATATAAGGTGTATTCTCTGCAAAGTAACTCTAGGGCATATAGAAGAGAAAAGGGGCGGAGAAGCGAAGCAACGGGAAGAAAAAATATACCCTATATAGCTACTCTTTATAAACCGGTAAGCAAAGAAGTTGAGCAGCAGAAATCTACATAGTATTAAAAGCGTATATAAAACCTGTATACCCTATAGCTCGCGAGATATAGCGGGAGTGAAAATCATGACCTTTAACTACACATCTTCGGACGAGGAAGACATGATTCTAGACATTGAACTTCTGAGCAGCTCCGATGACAGCTCAGTGGAAGTAATTATGGATGCGGTCGAGGGTGAGCTGGTGCAACAACAACAGCAAGAGGCTCCGTTGGAGGTGGATCTAGTATCAGATTCGGATGAGATGGATGCCTTGGAATCGGAGTCCGAGGATGTAGACTTCAGCTCAATAGATGAAGATGATTTGATCGAGCATGTACCAGAGGACCCTACAATGGAGGAGGCTTACGAGAGCATTGATATGGGGCTAGCTGTGCTGGATGGGATCGCGCAATTGGAGCATTTGGACGAGCTGACTCAAGCCGCGCAAATGGAGCACATCAAGGAGGTCTGTCTTCAACAGTTGTCGGGGGCCTCGAACACATCGAACGAATGGGCAGTCATTGCCCCACTGCACACCAGCTCGGTGGTGAATGTGCTGCGTCTGTGCTTCGGTCGCATCAATCGCAACGAGTATCGCATCTACGATGCTACCAACGGCAATGGGTATTGCCCGATCCCTGGGCCGCCGTTGGTAATCGAAGGGTTGAGCACTAAGCCGTCGGGGCAGCTGGAGCCGCTGCTCGATGGCTTGGCGCTCACGGAGACCTATGTGCACCTCTTTCCGTACAGCTCTCTATCGGAGTACGTGAAGCAAATGATCCAGGAGGAGACGGGCGCTGATATACCAGAGCTGTTAAACAACGCCGACAGCAAGATGGGCATTGAGCTACTTCCGGACGCAGAAATGAACATCATGTGCGCCGGTCGCGGGGATCGTGTGGGAATTCATTTCCGCTCATGTACCCAATCCAAAGAGCAGCAGATGCTGAACGAGGAGAACAGCGGCACCAACATCTTTGGCGAGCCAACTGTAGTCTCAATGATTATTGCCAAGACGGAAGTCGTGCTCTCCAACCAGCAGATTCAGCTGCTGGCCCAAAATCCGGAGTCAAACATCTATCTCTATGCCGACAGCAGCTGCATCTACGTTCTCAACGGACGCATTCTGTTCGAGACCACAGAGCTGACCCAGCACATTCTGCCCATCAGCAACATTGATCTGATCCCCTTCTCTCCATCAGAGCCCATTTCCATTGACTCGGACCCTGACGATGAATAAGGGGCCGATGATCGCAGACTGGAGAATTCTACACTGATTACCTTTAGTAATGATAATTCAAGACTGAAAACACAAAACTGGAACACAGAAGACTGAAAATGCAAGACTGAAAACGAAAAACTAACAATATTCATAGAGAGAACTAAATATTGAACTGAATGCTGAATAATAATAATGAACAATACTGAAAATAGAAGACTGGAAGACACGAAGGCAGATGACAGAAGACACACGAATCAATCAAGGCAAATATTTGAGATATGTAGATGCATTTATAGATGTACATGTGTATACATAAATAGCTAAATATAGGGATATCCCAGGTATTCATTTAGTTTAGGTTTTTGTATGTACGTTGGGATGTTCGTCTTATCAATTGAGATGTAGAAGAATGGGATGGGAAATTATTTGAATTCTGTTCTATACCTTCTAACTGCGTCTGTATTTGATGGTGTTTAGTCTCGTACAGATCTTTATTCTTCTGAACGTGGGCTTATATAGCCGGACTCATGCATACTTTTAACCCTTAAATCTAGTGCGTCTATTGCTGAGTGTGTAAGGCTCAGCAATGGTCTATTATATATTCATATATATCGTTTAGTTTGTAGGTCTCCGCGTTGGTCTATTGGTTATTCTTATCCTATCGCTGAGTTTGTAAGGCTCAGCGCTCGTCTCTTAGATAATCTGTCGCTTCAATTGCAAGGGTTAGTTTTCATCTGTCTATTTATAGAGTCCGTACATGTGACCCTTATCTTTTCCCATTACACTACCTGCTAGTCGTTGAGTGCGTCGATCTTCGTATATTCGCATGTTCAACAACCAACTGTACAATATTATTTCACATCTTGCAATCCTTATATCGTATCTAGGAGCACATATCTTCTCAGCTTACTTCTTTCGTCTATTGCATTATGCATCTCATATCTGGATTTTCACACCTTATGTCTTTCCAGTTTCAAAATCGTTTATCCTATAACTGGTCTCTACCCCAATCGCTTTGTCTTGCTCTCTCCCTATGTCCGTTCCTATCTCTATCTCTCTGCTATTGTTATACTACTATGAGTTATATTGGCATATTGTGCTACTGTTATACTGCGCTGTTGTTATACTATACTGTTATAGTCGTGCTTCACTGTTTCGTGAATGCGCCTATTATTTTCCCAGTGCATTTGCTAATTTGGGATATTGAAATTTTCACATTTTGTTTTTGTAATATATATTTTTATTGAGTTTTCAACAAATTGAATGACATTCGGTTTGTACGCCTGATTAAACAATTAAACAATAACAATTGCATTCAAATGAATAAACAATGTGCTATGTAATTTGTTGATTCTTTTAGTTTTCAATTATAATTATTCATTTATTA